CTTTAACGTGCAGACCTTTGACGAGCTCAATGCTCTCAGTGACCAAGTGTTCTCTTCTCTATGTCCAGGTAGGTGTTTTAAGAAGTATTTCACATCAATGATATCTTAAAGATGACGTCATTTTTTACCAAATCAAATTATGTTTTTGTTTTCCAAATGCAATATACAACGATTTCTGTATTTGCTGTTTTGTTTATTGACCTGTTATTCAATGTGTCGTGTTGAACGTAATGCACTGTAATTTGCTCAGATTGTTAAATACACATTATATTTGTGTATGTGTTGTTTCTATTCTGTACATTTCTCCCTTTATACAATATAGATAAGCACCAACTCTGTACTGTTCTGTCAATCTGTCACATGACCTGTTACGTCTATGCACACCTTTTATGTTTATGTTACACTGTTGTATGCTGTCTCTGTCTACTTGTATATGTGTACGTAATGCAGGTTTTAAAAGTGAAGCACAGACCCCGAGAACTACAGCGTCAGTGCCGAGAGGTAAAAAAAACACATGCATGAAAATGTTTGATACCTTTCATATGATGTTAAAGTCTTTAGGTTTTCAGTGTTTCACTTTGTGAGTGAACTGATTATTTATTTTTTCCAACCTCTATTTAATTATACTATCTAATTCGTCCGGAACAAAGGTAGGCATAACAGGTGAAAACACATTTGGATAGTAATGTACGAGAACAAAATTGTATTAAGTCTGTCTTTTCGTTATCGTGGCAAAACATGTTCGTAATCAATATCAATCTCAAGTACTAGATATTCTTCCTAGCGACCTGACTTTTAAAAGAAAAGAAAACAGCTATTGTCCCATGTGTCCATTATCTCATAAATTAAGACAACACAATTTCGTGGTATAGACTATATTCCCAAATCTAACATTCAGTTAAATAAAAATTATATTTTGATCAAAAGATTATTCTCATTTATATTTGTATCAGATAAGAAAAACGTTACCTACAATCTTGATTGAACATAATCTATGTCAGGCAATGTGCAAATAAACCAGCAAAGATAGCGTTATCATTTTGAACCGATATCATCTGTTTGATTGTAACTACTTGATGTTGAATGAAATTGTCATACAATAAATTCTACTTCTCAGCATGTTTGTTTTCACGCTAAGTAATAGATTATCATGAAATTGTAATTAAGTTATTTGAAAATTAGCTAATGCGATATGTGTACATAATCAACCAGTTACATCCGTATTTGATATATATTAGTGTTATGATAGATGTTTTAAACTTTTTTGTTCACAATAATAGAGCCCTATAACTTTTATCATATGAGTGTCTTTCCATTAACAAGACCATTAACATTATGAAGGCGTAGTCGATGACTTGGTATCGTCCTAGTGTTGTTAGTTAAACACGAGACAATTCAGTTGAACTTATAATTGCAAAATATAAGAAATAATAATTACAAAAACGAAATTACATCGCCGAGTTTTTCGAGAACCGAAAACGGTATATGTTGTTCTGCGGTACGAACATATATATTATAGGTATGGCTGTATGTCACAACAGGATCTATTGGGTTTTATTATTTTATTTACATCAACAAATCTAATTTTAGTTACTGATCCTCCTACCACAACCACCACTAC